CACCAAGCAACAAATCTACTTACAATGTGAAGTTCCCTAGGGATAACATAAAGCTTTTGTTTAATGGCTTCTAATTCTTAAAACTTTATGTAAATACAATGTAACAGTCTTCATTGTCAAGAAACCATTAGTGTAGTCAAGTTGTGAGTGATCATTAGTGTAGATATTTATCCTTATATGGAATCGTATGCCAATGTGTCAAGTCACAAAATGAACCTAGTCGGGTATAAGGGATGGTTGATGAAATGAGAATATAATGCTCCTCTTCACCTGGTCCTCACAATGACGTGCATCTCATTTTCAGATCTTTTCCCCTTTATGTGAAACTGAAAACAACAGTCCGTAATGGAGACACAATACCGACCATGTTCAAGCTTCGAATGCATCTATGTTCATCGAACAGAGACAATCCCTCAACTCTTTTTCTATATATACCTCTAACTATGTATGGCATTTTTATTCATCAAACACATAAAAAAAAACAACAAAGGAACAAAGATGAAGGAAAAAGCCAAGTGTCCCTCAGAGATCCTCTGAACACTTCACTGGGATGTTTTTTATGTACAATTTCCTACTGAAGTGTTTGGAGGAACTCCAAGGGCCACTTGACACCAACAATCAATTAAGAAATATAGGAAGTAGCCGTGCACGTTGCTTATAATACTTTGTAAGTGATCTTCCAAAAACATTATTATATGACTTCACACATTTACATTCACCGAGATTTCTACTTGCATGCATCTTTTTAAATGGTTCTCATAAGGAGTATCACGGGTTAACAAATGTTGGGAAGTTTTCTCTCTGGTCATCTCAAACCATACTGCAAAATGTTGGGTAATTGGTTTGTCCCACATAGACCAAATCTCTATTTTTCAAGTGCCTTATATTACCAAGGCCATAGCTAATGATAAATTGTCTAATTATCTAGTTTGTTCCACTACATATTAAAAATTCAAGAGGGCCTTGGGGCTCTTAAGGCATATAGATTATACCTTCTTCGTCCACGTTGTTCTTTGGCAGACATACACGAAATTTCTAGGGTTCTTTGCTGCTCTCGTTCTTATCAAATTCATATGGAAGACTTATTGATTCGTCAGGTTCAAGTTCCTATCTTGAACGGATTGATGTATCCTTTAGATAGACGTCCAAATTCTCGATTATATATATATATATATATATATCTGGGTTTTGTTTCAATTCAATATCGTTGTACGAACGAATTTCGATTCATGTATCTAATTGTTCTACAAAAAACACCATTTTGCATGTCTGGAAGCTCCAACCAGCCGGCAAAATGCCGGAGATGGAAGATAAAATGATCATGGTATGTATGTTGTATTCCTGTTTGAAATTGAATATATGCCTTGTGGTTGGAGTCCGATTTTATTTTGGTGTTACTGGTCCCACCAATTTGTTGGTTTTTTTGTGTTGCCGTGGAGATGTTCTGATATGTAATTGTAAGGCTTTGCATTATGCATTAGTCTTGCAGTCTTGTGATATCAAGCAATTACCAGCAACTCGCAACCAAAGCTGGCCGGAGAGGGTCATTGAAGTTAGGTCACAGAAGCAGATGGGTGAGAGATCCAGGAGGAAGTTATGTACCTTTTCTTCAAAAAAAGACAAAGCTGGACGAGCGAGTTGTTGTGGCCGAACCGGTTGCATTTTACGGGGTGTCCAAGCACAGCGATTGTCGGTCGCCCACTGGAAACAACATGGGATTTTCTTTTTCTGGGCATGTATTTGATCATTGTAATGAACTCTTCTGACCTTTTTCTGTTATATGAATTGTTTGCCTTTCCGGTAGTGTAACCACATTAATTAATCCCCGTGTTATTTATTTATTTATTATTTTCGTTATTTGATATCTGTTGCATTGTGATTGGTTTGTTTTTATTCTCGTTACTTGGTATTAGTTAAACGTACATGTGAACAACCTATTTGAATTCCATTTTATTGTTAGGTTTGCACCGGCCGTTGTTTGATTATCAAGACCTCGTTTCAGATGTTGGATCATCGGCCAACAACTAGAGCTTTTTTTTGTATTAACTCACTGGATGATTTATACATTGTTATCTCAAAATTATAAAGATTGTCATTATTCACTTCATTCGATCTTTGGATCATGGTATCCTCAATTATAAATATGACGGATGTCGAGAACCGGCGAATAATAAGTTCAAACTGTCCCACATCACAATATTAATTGTAATAGTAGTAAGTCAATTCGAACCCGTGTCGTGACTATTATACAATATTTTATCAGTTGTTAAACATTTTTATCAAATAATATATGAAACTGAACATCGTATTTCTTTCACTAAGTATATTGATCAATTTTTTTTTATTAAAGTACATATTAGATCAACCATTTTATACTCTCACAAATGAAATATGTGACGATCAGATTTTAGGTTCGATTTCAGTTGGTTTCTCAATTAATTTGGTTGTAGTTATTTGTTAGTCCATTGTGCCCTATTGTTTTAATCTATAATCATGTATAAAAGAGGAGTTACTGAAGGGTTCGTTCCTAAGATATTTGGTGCCCTGGACGATAGTAGTAAGAAGTGCCCCCAATTTAAAAGGCAGTAAGAAGTTACCCAAATTTGAAAAGAAAACATTTGTTGTTTGTAACAATGTTTAAAAAATGTCACCAAGCAACAAATCTACTTACAATGTGAAGTTCCCTAGGGATTGAAAAAAAAACATTTGTTGTTTGTAACAATGTTAAAAAAAATGTCACCAAGCAACAAATCTACTTACAATGTGAAGTTCCCTAGGGATAACATAAAGCTTTTGTTTAATGGCTTCTAATTCTTAAAACTTTATGTAAATRCAATGTAACAGTCTTCATTGTCAAGAAATCATTCGAAATAAATTGAAAATAACCTACATTAAGCATATAGTAAAATCTAAAACATACAACATTTCATATTCATTGTTAATTTGTAGAGTAACTTAGTTATATAATGATGTGTTCAAGCAAATTCTCAAACATGATCTAAAAAGCGTCATTTTGTAGCAAATTCATATATTTTGTCAAAAACTAGAGCATACATGTACACTAAATGGAATAAAAAACATAATTTACCAATTTCTTGCATAAAAAAATTGASGAAATTATACACAAAAGAAAAATAATAAGCTTTCAAGAATGATCTTAAAGTTTTTTCAAAACACAAGTCCTTAAAAAATATTTATTGTTGAATGTGATTAGTTTTATTTTATCTTAGATAAATATTTGTTATAATAAAATAAGACAAGAAGAAGTTAATTATCTTGGTTTTTTTAGTGGTACAACTAATAAAATATAACGTGCAAACTCTTAAAGTCGCACAACCTCCCACAATCTTCCATATATTAAAAATCAAATTATTTCCAAATTATATTTTATGCTCATATAATTTGTTACTTAAAACTATTTCAGTTTCTCTCATTTTACACCATTATCAATTTAGCAAGAATAATCGTGTATGAACTAAAATGCATTAAAATGCGTATCTTTTTAACAAATTACACTATTTTAATCGTCTCGTGAGTACCTTCAAAATGAACTCAATATTGAATATTTTTGAATTTAATTATACTATTAAATATCATGAATACTTACGAATGAATTTGTTTAATATTTCTTACATTTTCATTTTTCATTTTATACCTTTATTATATTAAAAATACATAAAATATATACATTAAAAATGTCTTTTATTACAAATTAGATCATTATAACTTTCTCGTCAATACCTTCAAAATAAGCTCATTATTGAATGTTTTTGAACTTAATAATATTAAAAAATATCATAAATAAGTACGATTTTATAATTTATTATTGAAGGCCTTAAATGGTTATCTATACTCCTTATGATGCATCAATTATGTATATATTGAATTTTTAAGAGGGGCGGTTTTTTAAAACAACAGTGACGACTTATTCATGCAGACAATTGAAYTGCCCTTTCATCTCTTTGACAACGTTCCAAACAAATTCCTCTCCTCTCACCTGAACCTCTGTGTCTTTGTGGTCGATGAAAAATCCCCTTACCAA